CCGTGTTCCTATGAATGGCATCTCAGCCAAACTCCTTCCATGGACCCTGAAAATTAACTAGTTGTTAAAAAGAACACATGCACACACGCACGCACATAACATACAAGACATAATCATATATACCTAATAGTTGCTGCAGCTATGATCTCTCCTTTTTTTTCAAGAACAGCAACATAGAAGTTAGCAAAGTTAACCCTAGTCAAGTTGGACCTGAAAAATGAGAGAGAATATTAAAGTAATGAAATTTTGTATTCTAAATGGATTCAAAAGGGAAGTTTGGAGGAGATGGGGAACTAGGGAACTTCTTACTCGCGATTGTACACAACACTTTGTAACACGTCAATCCTGGTGTGGCGGTCTATGTTGGTCAAGAAGATTTCCTTCAAGACACCCCACGCCACAGCAATCTTGCAGTTAACCTCCATTTTGTGAATACTTTCATTATTCTCTAATCTTTGTGAAATCACTTTTCTTTGAAGCAGAGTCCAAGAAACGCCACCCTCAACATCATTGCTAACTCCCAGCATTTCTTGTAGCGTTCCATAAACCTTTCACAAATTTCAAAAATTAGTGTCTCTCCCTGTTGGAGACAGGAAACAAGAAGAATAATTTGAAGAAAAGTTTATTGCTTTGTTGTTTTCATTGTACATACAAAAGTTCTATATATAGATGTATACAATAGAATATTCTTAAGTATAAAACTATATAAAAGAATATTCTTAGGTATAATACTAAATGACTTAAATGTAGATAATCAATTACAATGTGAATATGATATTTTAAAATAAATACTGATATTCTAATACTTTCCAAAAAAAACATATATTAACATTCTTAGAGATGAAAATTGGGATCAAATACCTCCCTACAATCACATCCACAGAATGAAAAACTACCAGTAGAGTTCAGGTCATTCCCTTGCTGGTTTACGAAACAATCCCAATGATCTGCAATGAACTTCAAATTTTAGAAATTTTGGAAGTTTCTGTGGAACTAGAGAATTTGGACGAAGAAATGTTATACATACATTTTTTCACACAGTGAGTACACTTCAGCAGTTCCCCTTCCCCGCTTTTACAATATTTGCAGACACAGAATGGACAAAGCCATTCTTCTTGAGGAAGCTTCTACAATACAGAACAAAGCATCAAAAACCATAATACACTTTAGGGAACGTTCCAAGTTTCCAACAGTTAAAACTTAGACTTCCAATCTGGGGGTCTAAAGGTTTCAACTTTCGGACTAGCTTGCAGGGATTTGGTTAAGGGAAGGATTTGATTTGATAAAAACAATTTTGTTTTAATTACCTCCATTCCCATACAATTAAGGTGAAATGTTGAAGGGCATCTTTCACAGCAAATTAAGTCCCCACCATCAGCACAGATAATGCAGGCATCGTCACTTCGATCGGTGGCATTTTCTAGAGGACGAAAGACATAGGGAGTCTGTCGTGACATCTCTTCTGGTTTATGCCATGCCAGAACCATGCGATCCAGCAAAGAGGATTGATTTCTTGGCAAGAAGATGTGACAGTACGGCTGCCAAAAGCGAAACTGATAACCAGAACACGCATGGGCCTCAAACTGCCATGGCGTCAACTCTTCCCTACAGCATTTGCAGAGTATCCCACCCTGTCTGATACTCCCTTCCAACAAAATAGCATTCCTTTCCATATCCAAGTACAAGACTTTCTGGTTGACATGCAAAACCCCCATATTAATCAGCCAAGAAAACAAAGTCTTCTTGGTCACTAGTTCCCTCGCCCCCCGCCTAGGAGGAATGGAACTCCTCCCTTGAACCCTCCTTTCACTGTTTTCTTCCACATCATTTATCTGAAGAGGGTGCCCCGACGTCCTCCTCTCTACAGGGTTGTAGTTGACGCTGGAGGAGCTGCCGCTCGCTGCATTAGTCAACCCTGTTTCTGCACCTTGAGCCTGAGCAGCAACAGAAGAAGTTGCTGCTCCTCTATCAGGATTTCTCTGAACCCTTCTCTGACGCCTAGGCCTGACATAATCAGGATCAGACAAACTGGAATCATATCCATTACCCTCCTCGTCCGCCGTCATCAAACCAAGTTCTTGAGGATTCACAATATAATTCCTTGCTCTAAAACTGTATTCCATTTTCCTGTTCAAGAAGATAATTAAGAAACTCAGAATTAATTTTTCATTTTCCTTAGAAAATCGAATCTGAAAGAGAGGAAAAGAAATCTGAACTAGAACTGAAATTAAAAAGAAAACTCCTTGCATTCAAACAAAGAATAAAAATGATGCATGTTTATGTACTCCTAATCAAAATCTTAATTTATTTCCATTTTGAATTTTCTGAATATTTTCTTCTTTATTGAGACCAGTGGTGTTCATGGAAGAAACTGCATTAACTGTTCTTGAACTATTGAGCCATTGTGACCCTGTAAGAACCAAGCAGGAGTGTTTAGATTTGGCACACGTCTGCATCACGTGGTAGTGCTCACTAATATTGGCTGATTTTCTCACATTTTCTTGTCTTTTTTTTTTTCCCTTTTAATTATAAAAAGCTTCATAAATTAAATAGATAAAAACAAAAACTA